TAGTTCCCTTTATTCTTATGATAATAACAGTTTAATGCCCGTTTTCACCATCAATTCCTAATTTTTAAGTGACCCCTATGACAATAAAATGCCTGTAACGTGCAGTTACCCTAGGGGTCACTTTTAAAAATTAGTGATTGATGGTGAAAACGGGCATAAGTCAAGTCAGTTAGTCCTAAGATATTACCCGTAGCTTGGAAGAAATTTAGTTAATAAAAAGAACCCCTAATAAATTGGTTTATAACTTTCGTCTTTTTTCATGCACAAGTTTTGTAATTACTTATTAAGTAAGTGTATGCTTTTAACTTTCGAAATCAGCCTCTGACTCTCTTAAAAAAATGTCTTCGGCAAAACAAACTTAGAGTAGGTGTTGAAAAATGCAAGTTTTACTGGTCCTAAGTAATTCAAAATGTCTATGTACAAATTGCCTATTGTTAATTAAAAAAACAACAAATGGGAAAATTACTTTAGAGTAGACGCAAACCGTTTATTTTTAGTTGGCCGATAGTTGTGCCCGATTTTAATTTGTATGAAGAATCGGCCAAATCGAATCGGCGTAGTGTGCCCAACTAAACTATCGGCCGACGAAAAATCAACGGTGTGCGCCTACTCTTAGTGCACTGGCAGGTAGACACGAAGAAAATAAATAATTGAAAAAGTAAAAGACTCACCTTGGCGAAACAGGCGAGGCCTTCAAGTTCTTCGGTTTGTTGAACGGCCCTCAGCTATTTTCGAAGTCAGCACATGCATAATAAAAGTGTAGGGTTAATACTGGGACGTGTAAAAGTGCTTTTTAAAAGCCTACTTGCAACAATACATTCTGTTTTATGAGTTTTTCTTAAGTAGTAAGCCAACACAACGAAGGTAGATACTTACAAGGCAGCCTTGATGCGCAATTTGTGGTATCCGTTATGTATAATAATTCCGTAATATTACACTTAAAACATTAAGTAGGTACACTGTATCGTCCAACAATACACTCGCGGGAAATATACGAAATTCATCATAAACAAATGAAACACAAAATAAAAATCACAGTCCAGCAATCGAACGATGTCTTCGTCACCATTTTAAATTCAAACTGACTTCCAATCCAATCGATGCAAATGTCAATGAAAACCTGCTTGTGTTTGTCTTTTCACTCACTCCAATAATACTTATTTCATATATTGTAAAGGGAGAGAGAAGATTTGTTTTTATTTGTACCGCGACGCAAATATTACGAAATTAATGTTCATGGTGAAAGACATGGCGTCAGATTCGAAAATTTAAAAATAGAACGATAATTATTATCTTGGTTATGAAGTAGTCAAAAAAGATACTTTTTTCCAAAGTTTAAAAATAGAATGCCCAGTTCTAGACGGAAAAAGTTTGCAATTGTTTTGTATATTTTATTGTTTATAGTAACTGATAAAACGTTGTTTAACGTTAACGTTATTTAGGTACGATCGCAATCGTGATTACGCGATTCAAATTAATTTATAGGTGGAACAGAATTATTCTAAATAACTTGCTGCCTAGTTGCTTTACTAAAAATTCTACTAAAATAGTATACTAATGCCTGTTTTCACCATCAATCCCTAATTTTTAAGTGACCCCTATGGTAACACATAACATGAATTTTTTCACAACAAATTTTAGAGTTACAAATTCTAGAGATCAAGTGTAACTTCTCCAGATTTATAACTCTTTGTAGCTGGATTGCGGCCAATGGGTAGGCGAAGGGTTGGAGCTGGTCCTCGTCGCCTAGTGCATGCCTTGTCCTTTAATCGCCGGAGAAAGATCGCTGTTTCACACAGCATGCCTCTTGTATTACACGGATGAAGTGTTTTGTTCAAGTGGCTGTAAAGCTACAGTTACATCAGTCGTTTTGTAACGGCACTGCCATATAATGTTTTATGTATAAAACTTAGGTTTCCTATAGGCTTAAGATACGCGCCGTAAACTTTTATCGACGTTAAAATGTATGGGAAAAATCGATAAAATGGCGTGATAACCGCTTATCGCGGCGCGCATCTTAGGCCTGCTGGTTGATTTAGAGAACCCTTAATTATACAGTATCAATTGCATAATGTTCAATTGATAACTCTATTTTTCAATTCATATTTGATTGGATAAGAAAGCGCTGGATGCAGGCCGCTACCAACCGGGCGATGTGGGAATCAATGGGCGAGATATATGTTCAGCAGTGGACGTTCAGTGTTGGGTCGTGGTCCACCTGCTTAGTTCACCTGTGTGGACCACGGGTACTTCTTGGTGGTCCACCTACATTAAGAATACTAGGCAAATCAAATGTCTATAGGCCGTGTTCCTCCTGTATTTTATAATGAAAATGATGATGACTATTTTATTACCTTGACTTTAAGGTCCCTGTTTTTTTCAAGTTGCAATTTAGGTACAAACTTTGATTTGTGTATGGTTCACAGTCTTGAATAACTGTTCTAGATAACATCAAGTGGTTAGTAATTATTCTGTCTTGTAGGTTGTATAACAGGCCAAACCCTGATGTCAGACGTCATGAGCCACTATGGGCACATGTAGCCGCCATTATCTTGATGTGGTTCGGGCCGACGTGCCCTGTCTGGCTTAAAATTAGCAAATAGCCTAGTAATACTGAACCATTTGGAGATGTAATCAGGATATAATAGAATATTAGAGGGTAGTAACTCCGCATTGAGTTGAACTAATTTAGGACTGATATTTCAATCCTTGGTTAGGTATTTGGCTCCTGAGCAGGGAGACGACAAATGAAACAGCTGGATGCGTGTGCGATAATCAAGAGCCCAGTTTATTAATTATTAGTTTTAACTGAAGAATAGGACTGTTATTTTGACAAAATCTCCCATACCGAAACTATCAATATGCCAAACTTATTCTTCAGTTAAAAGTTGTCGGCCTATTGAAAAATCAGGCCTAAATCTCGTGTAATTTTTTTTCAGGTTTTCATTATTGTTAGTTAGATTACAATTGTTTGCGTCTTTTTATAAACATTCCCAAGTTATGTGAATGGCTTCGATATAACCAGTATGTAGGTACAGTCGCGGAATGAAAAGGTTCGTCAGTTTTCAAATTGATTCCTTCAACGAATCGCGAGCACATATTACCTTTTGAAACTATGTTACAGAATAATCTCGAGTTAGAGAAAATAATCTTTAACTGTTCGTCAGTAAAGTTCAAAATTATTCAGATCAAAGTCGATTTATCTTGTCAAGAAGATTATTATGATTGATAAACTAAATAAAGCCTTCTTGTTGGTTCAACCTGCCATTGTTATTTCTATATAAAAAAAACTACATTTTGTAACATTGCACTGATGGAATAGAAAAATAAACAAGCAAAACCTTATTCGTTAGCAAACGTCATATTTATTTAAATGTTAGCAGCTCTGTATCTTGCACTGTTATGTTGGCAGGTTTGACTCTTACAGTACCTAGTGCAAGCGAAAACCGACACAAAGGTGACGAACCTTTTCATTCTGCGACTGTACCTACAACTTGGAGTCAGGTTGGCATATTTTTTTCTATCTTTCAATACAGTACTTACCGTTTCCATGGTAGGCCAGGATGACTGAGCTTCAACGTGACTTTTTGTCAGTAAGGACTAAGGAGCTCACCTCCTTTATTCATAGGAAAGTAGACACACCATGTGTGTAAGTATTTACATGGAAAATAAATAAAATAAACATGTAGACTCGACAGCACAAGAGATTAATACATACCTGTTACTTTACGAGTAGTATCTACCTATCACAACTACAAGATGCTATGAAGATGAAAGAGAGGTTCTACTGTAAATCTGTGCCCTGTGGGGCGCGTAGCAACACAAATTGACCGCACCAGCCAAACACAGACTGGGTCAAGGAACTTCGGGGTGGCTCGCCCACAGGGCTCGTCCACGAGCTGGCACAGATGGATTCAATTCCAATTCAAACTCGTTAATTTGAATGTTAACCCTTCAGCTTTTATTACTAGGCTATTCCAAACACCAATTACTGAAAACTACGCTCATAGTGCCGCAAGGAAGTGTTAAAGATTTGCGGGAACTTTCGCGGCTTTTTTCTACTTCTATTACGTTACACATAAAATGTGCTTTTCTCTTATTTTCTAATTGTATTTTCACAAAAGTAGTAGGTACCTAAACAGTAGTTGTTGCGTGGGAATATCCATCCATCCGCATCCTTACAATGTAAACTTTGCTATATTTCTTCAAACTATTATTATAATTTCTACGGCGCGAAGCTACATTTTTTATTAATTTTGTAGAGCGCCTATTTAGGCGATATTTATCGAGGCCTGTCGATTTTTGAAAATAATAAAGAAAGTATACTTTAAGAGCTAAACTGCCATCTGTTCGTAACTGGGTGAACCACGTTAAAGAGGTCACTCTGAGTTGTAGTGTAATAATGAAAGATGGAGCCACTTATGGATTTAAGAAATGGTCCTTCTAATAAAATACCTACATACTTACTCTAATGTTTTTTAAACTACGTATTAAAATGTTTTAATATTTTTTAGTAATTTAAACCTACAGTTAGACAAGACTATGGTACTTTGGGTTTCAATACAATAATCTAGACAGACACGGCTCATAATTTATTTATTAGTAATTATCGTAACTCGTTAAGCAATCCCAACTTAATATTATAAATGCGAAAGTAACTCTGTCTGTCTGTCTGTCTGTTACGCTTTCCCGCTTAAACCTCGCAACCGATTTTGATGAAATTTGGCATAGAGATAGTTTGAGTCCCGGGAAAGAACATAGGATAGTTTTTATCCCGGTTTTTGAAACAGGGACGCGCGCGATAAAGTTTTTCTGTGACAGACAAAATTCCACGCGGGCGAAGCCGCGGGCGGAAAGCTAGTATTTTAATAATTATTAATCTTTTTTTTCTATTCAACCTTTATAAAGTTCAACTAGCCTTTAACTGTTTGTAAAAAGTGGGTATACTGTTTTCTATTACTGTTTGTAATCCTATAAATTAAAATTAACTAATTGAGGTTTGTTGCCTCAACAGCTTTGATTGATTTTGATTTGATTAAAGAATATTAGAAACACATTCATATCTATAAAACTTATCCTTAATAAAAAAAAACGAAACTAAAATTAAACATTAAGAACACTAAGAACAGTCTAGGCACATACAGCAAAAATATAAGTAAACGTCGCTATTGGCTGCCATGCTCATTCTCATCAATCGTGGAGCCATTTGACTTCGTATCCTCGTTAATTTCTGATGAGTCAGAATACTCCATTTTAATTTCAATTATTGGATAAACTGGGTTTTCTGTTGCATCTGCCGGAAGATTCTCAGCTATATTGGGCGATGTAGCTGGCACTGATAAAACTTGGGAAGGCGTCATTAGCTGTGACGAGCTCTCTCGCATCAATTCAGCCTTTTCTGTTCGTGGAGAAGACGCCGGATTCGTTGCAGTGGGCTCATGCTCACCCATTGAATTCGCTGCAGGCATCGAACCCGAACATTCGTCCAACATCTGTTTCCATTCCAATTCCTGAACTACTGCAAACAACTTTCCTTTCGCCAGATACTGGTAGTACGGCGAGAAATTCTTCACTGTAGCCGCTAACCCTTTGAAGAAGGCCTCGATATGATCGTTCTGATTTCTTTGTTGGTTCTTCAGGAATTCGACCATGAAATTAATATCCGTTAGTGGTTCTGTTTTGTTTTCATGAGGCCGTTTACGAGAACGATCTGTAATAGAACTTTCTTCCGAATCACTGGATTGCGAATGTTGTCCTTGAAGTCGGTTCCCCTCTTGTTCGGCCCTCTTGTTCCCTTCTTGTTCGGTCGGTTCGGCCGACCTCTCACCTAACCGCTTCTTTCTGCCCGGCGGATTTATGTGAGGAATCAAAAAATTCAGATTGCTCTCATATTTATACCTCATGAATTTTGTAACGCCTTTCGCTCGATCCTTTTTGCGTTTGTTTAATGACTTTCTGAACTGATCTCTTATGTTACACCATCGTTTTCTGCAAGCATCCTCTGTAACAAAAAATAAAGTGTCAACAATGTTTTTTTATTTTTATTCCAATTTGTAATTTATTAGTCTTACTTTATGGTGCAAATATAGCCCGTGATTTGTGGATATTATGGCTGGGTTGCACCATCTTACTTTAACTTTGACAAACGTCTTCTTACGGTCAAAGTTAGGTGGTGCAAGTCAGCCTAAATGTAGGTATAATATTTGTGTTAGTTACAGTCAAAAAAATAGTCGAAAGTGGATATGCCCAATGCCCTTGAAATGAAAATATGTAATTTCATATGATTTTTCATGCTATTCATATTATTAATGTTCCATGCCTACTCACCATCTTGATTCATCTCCATGTCTATCGTTCGCCACACTATATTCTTGTATCTGTTATCCAAATATTTATGATGGCACATGTCGTATATTACGGGGTACCTGCGCACACATTCTATGAGTCTTTCGTCGTCCATTTTTGTTTGAAACTTCTAGTAGGTACTAACGCTCGTATTCACAAAGGATGCTTGCTTAAGCGAAGCAGAAAATCGAAAGCACAGCGTTGAATAGAGCTCTGTGATTCGTGTGTCACCCTTTGCGTTCACGCGCACTGAGATACCTCATAGTAATGTTGAATACGGGCGTAATAAACGGGTAGCACGTTCTGTACGAAATGTAGACTGATGCCGTGCGGTGAGCGTGACGGGGACGGGACGGGGCATGGTCCCCCCGCGGCGGCCATCTTGCTGCCGTGCCGAGCCACCGACTCTCGCCCGTGGCGGGCGCGTAGCGGGAATTCTTATGGCGCAAGTATACTATGCGTGACGTAACAATGTGAACAGCATCTCGCTTACTTTCTCCTTCCCACACCCGTGCGTCGCCCATACTACCCGTTCGCGCTAAGTTTGCCGGTCCGTGGAATGCGCTTCCCTTCCTCCAACCGCGATTAAACGCAATTTGTTAGTGTTTAAACGCAATTAAGTGTTTTATTTTACACAAATACACAATTTTTATCAATATTAATTAATAAAAAATATTTTCAATATAGTTTGCTAAAGTTATAGACGCATTCCTTCGAGTGACGTCATAATTATCGCCAGCGGCAAACTTATCGCGAACGGATAGTACTTTGGTGTGCGGGCTCGCGCTTCGTCTCGGTTACTTTTCTGCATAGTGTACTTGCGCCATTAACCTATTTATTGCTAGGTATAGTATGCCGTGATGTTTTAGTAGTGGTAGTGATTTGTTTGATCGTCGCGGGTTCTAGTCCCAGTTGAGTCAGTTTATGGTATTTATGGTACGCTCGATTAAGTGAGAGAAGTGAGATAATGAATTTATTATTTTGTTTTGTCATGCGTTGTTTGCAATGCAAGTATTCTTACCTAGTACTGAAGTATTTAGGTTATAAAAATAGTTATGCAAAAACTTTAAGGATGATTTCGAAAATCCGTATTATAATTATGAGTGATTCTGTATTTATTTACAAAATAAAATCTAATATCGTCTTTTTCCGCGAAATTAAAAACGTTCGCAATGTTCCTAATTAGACGAAGGATAAAGGTGGGAAAAGAAATAAAAATACTCATTAATATCCATTAATTAATATATTATAATATACGTGACTTAACAATAATATTATGTATTTATTCGTTATTGCTCTTTTTATTTATTGTACTTAGTTTTATTATAGTGGATCCGATTTTAGCGTCCCGTGATATGAACAGTTGAGAACTATGATAATCACATTCTGTTACTTTTAAAAAGATTGTTACAAAAAATCTTATTATTGCAGTGATTTATCAACAATATTATTGCTCTGAAAATCTTAACAAACTTAACAACTTTATTATCTGCGCGAATTTTAACTACTAAGCAGATTTAGTAACATTTAACAAATCGAACATTTAAAAGCTACCCGAAATAGCAATTTTGGACCATACTTAAGGACATTAAAAGTAAAATCTATTAAGGAAAATTGTAATTTAATGGATTCCGTAAAATCAAATCATAATATTAAGTACAAAATACCAACGTCTCTATTTTTCTTCAACAACAAACAAACAAGCCTGAAAGATTAATAAAAATTCTATATTTGCTCAAAGCACGGTGTATATTATGTTGTAACATTTCAATAAAGTATTCTTTCTCATTATTATCGATATTGTGTGGATAACATCGTCTAAAAACAATATTATACTAATTAAAAACTAAAGTTACCTATATTGTGTTGTTTTTATAGAGCGATCTGATAGAAGAAACAGCGACTACCAAATAAGCTGGACTAAACAAAAATCTTAAAATTGGTACTTCAATATAGCATGGAAAGTTGTACTAAAAACGAAATATAAAATATTTTTGTACAATCTTTTTAAACCACTGAAAATATGAATTTGTATCGCTAAAATAATGAAGGTAAGCATCTCACTGACAGAATAGGATCTTAGTAGATTGCAATATGAAAGTATATTAAAATTTCCTTACTCTAGTGTCTTAGTAGAGAATTAGCCTAATACACACACAAGTCAACAAGAAGAATATAGAATTATTACTATTAGCATTTAAAATATCTATTATTCCAATAACAATATCACATATAGTAATAACTAGACAATAATAATTATTATAATTAATAATAACAATCAACAATTACATTCGATGATACAATGGTGTAATTATTAAAGTATATCTATTTATTATTAATTCGTATATTATTATTATTTGTATGTGCGTAATGATTATTATTTTGATCACGATAGCACTTTCTAATAATATAAATACACTTAATTTAGTACATTTCTCCTTTTAAGTCACTATTGTATGTTTTTTTTCATTTAGATTTTACTATATTATTTAGTTAGCTTTTCAGAAGTTTAGTATAAATAACGGACCTAATATTATTATATTATTGTGGACACCGATTTCACGTTTTTGACAAAGCAATACCAATTATGATAGACACTATATTCGACCTAATACGATAAAATAGATTAATTTAAGGTAGAGTTTTTTAGAATAAGATCATGTTTACATATAATATAGTAATACACACAGAGTGACATCAAATTTCGCTTTTATAGTCAATACATTATCTAAACCACTCATTTTATATATTTTATTTAAATATATCATTTGTTACGTCTACTGGTCGATTACAAAAAGCCGTGTAAGAGGCGTAGCGCTCTAGGGAATCTTAAAAGTAGTTAACAATAAAAATGTTTTACGAAATATTCTACATGATCAACAAATAATAACATCCATTTGCCTCCTTATATGCATCTAAAAGGGTAAATATAACAAAAATCTCACTATAAACTTGTAAAGGTTTATCAAAAGTGCATTTTCCTTTTAAGTGACAAAACCCAAGTGTTTATTGATTTAACGGAATAAAATAACAGAAAACCAAATATATTTATTTATTAAAACGATCGACAGCAGGATCGGTACAAGGCAGTGATTTTATAGATATTTACTAAAATACAATGACATCTAAAGTGACCGTTTTAATCATCTTAAAATTTTAATAAGACATTAAAACATCTTTGTTACTTCAAAGAAAAAATATTCAAAATTGAAAAAATATTCAAAATTGAAAATATATTAAAAAGGGTTATGCATTTAATTTCGCAAATTTTGTGTTAAGTAGAGTTCATAATATTATTATTATTAACAATACGAAACGAATTTAAAACAACAATTAAATAAAATTATATTTTGTAAAATATGAATAATATTTTTAGGATTTCATCATAAAATCTGTAACCTGGACAAAAAATGTAAATATTATTTTGATATATTTTTATTTAAGTACGCAGTTAATTAGTTAGCAACTCATTATTTAAGTACAACAATATGAACTCTTCATAACTAAATAGCGGTAACGCTTTAGACAAATGCGTGACAGCTTTTTGGTTTGAATAAAATTAAATAGAGTTTGACCAATTAAATAGATAATTTCTGGTAGGCGTAGTTTAGAATATGTCAAAAGCTTTTGTTATATTACAAGTCGTTGTATAGAAATAAGGAAGCCCCCATTTAAACTACCCGCCGAAGAATAGTGCATATAAAGGTAGATTCAGACTTTTGAGGCATACACCGTACACGGTGTAAAACGAATGCCTCTGTTAAAGGTGCTTTTGTAAGCATACCAGCATTATCCTTTGCGTGAAAAGCAAGCAAATACAATCTATCTACCTGTATGTCATTCACGTAAATAACTATGTTCCAAAGAGCATGCTGATCAGATACTCTACTACTGCATAGTTATGCACAGCTCACACCGAGGCATTTTGATTGTGAAGCATTTGCTGAAATAATAATGTAGGTTCGTTTCACAAAGTATGTATCTGTCACCGGAAAATAATAAGACTCGTAAGTTGATCAATTTTCTAGGTAGTTGATCAACTCTCGGAAAATAATAAACGGCATTTGAAATGTACTATTTAACGTATGTATTTTAGTAAGTTGATTAATTTACGGCGTCTTGCCGTTAAATCATCTGACAAAGGCAAGGTGCACGTTGATTGGTTAAAAGACTCGCGTGCTTTTATACCGCTCCCCGCCACCCGGCCGCCGCCATTACCGGTTTAAACGTAAACAAATCTATCTATTTTCTTTATTTAAAGTAGTAAAATTAGCAATTGTTGTTTTGTGTGGTAATAATTTTAATTATAGCGCGTCATTTTATTTATGATGAGTGAAATGCAGTCTGTAGTAGTAGAAATAAACAAACTTAGTTACTTGTTATTCATATAACTTACAATAATAAAACTCTAAGCTCCAATTTTTTTTTTTAAACATTTTTCATTTATTTAACTATACAGGGTGTTACTTTGCATTCTTGCCATATATACAGAGGTTACTATATTACTGATACTGAACACAAATCCGTAAAAAAATAATGCCCGAAAATTTTTTTTTTTAATCTTGAGTATTTTATTTTATCGACAATGTGTTAAACACACCACTAATTATCGTAACGCATGCACATCACTTGTTGGCGATGGCGATGGAGACTTTTTTACTTTTTATTGTATTTTTAAATATCTATTGCAATCTATTGTCTTTAAAATGTCTTTTTGACATTTGTAAAAAACTGAGAAATCCATCAAACACAAATCACGTTATAAATAATACAAAAATGACTGAAGTGTATTCAAACAACGAATAATTTAATCAAAATGGTGCTTGGAGTGTCTGCAAGACGTCTTAGACGAAATGCTTGATGACGTACCCTTAGCGTTACACCAAATGCTCTACTACCAGCAGGATGGTGCTCCCCCACAATAAGGACGTCAAGTGCGCGAATAATACGTTTGGTGAACAGTGGATTGGACGAGGGGTCCAGTAGCTTGGCCACCACGATCCTCGGACCTGACACCAATGGAATTTTTGGAGTGACTTGAAACGACTGGTATGCGCAGAAGAGATAAACAGTGTAAACGCGTTACATGAAAGGATTGTTTTAGTGAAACTGTGATACAAAACGTTTATGTGTTGCGAAAACTAAAGCGAAAAACCTACGCTTCGCCGTGCTAGACTGTGCCTTCATCAGAACGGAGGACACTTTGAACACTTGCTTCGCAGTACGTAAACTTTGTAAGTAGGAACTTATGAATAAATAATTAATTGTGAATAAGGTCAAAGGTGATTTCATTTCATACTTAATTTATTAATTTGTAAAAATAGGGTAGGTACAATGTTGTAAATTAATTGAAACCCTAATAATTATTACGTATTTTTGACGGTCCTAAGCCCGTAAAGTAGAAAGGAAAATCTGAAATCAACTGAAAAGTATTTTAAAATAGTTATTATGACTGGATAAAAAGGCTGGTACCCAAAGCCATAAAATTAAGAACTAGGCCACGCCCACTAGGTTTATTCCACTTGCACCTGTAGAACGTGCGAGATAAAATTGGTTTATTCCAATTTGTACTGAAAAACCAAATTTACTAAAATCTTAGTGTACTTTCTTTATGGGAGTCTCTTGTTTATCTTAAATAATAGGTACTGCTACCTACTTTTATCTCTGTGAATATGGCAAGAATGCAAAGTAACACGGTGTATAGCATAGACGAACTTTAATATCCCTATCTGTAAAATGTAAATATTAAAACAATATAATCTAAGTGTTTGTAACTCAATGAATAAACACTTGCTAAATGCTTATAATTAATGCTGTCGACCAATCAGAGAAAAGTGTATTAAGTGACGGATAATAGTGTACCGTCAAATAGTACTCTGGGCAACGATTGGTCCATTTGTGGATGATTTTACTTGTAGCAATATAGTTAATTATTAAATTACGGCTAGGTACCGTAAGTTGACCAATTAGCTAAAATTCGATGCGTTAAATAGTACATTTCAACTGCCGTTTGTTATTTTCCGAGAGTTGATCAACTTCCTAGAAAATTGATCAACTTACGAGTCTTGTTATTTTCCGGTGACATATCCACCTTAATAATTATAGGTACCATCGAGATTTAGAAATAGAATTTGAACAACAACATGAATGTTAAGTTTTTTTCGATTGCTTTTTTGTTTTACAATTTGTAAATTAATTAACTACTGAAAAAGTAGTCATTTTAAGCCTTTTAGGTGACAACCATAATATAATTTATTAATCAACTAAGTAATATTGTTAAATTATGATTTATTAATCTTGCTAATAATGATGCTATTTTTAACGGATGACATAACACACAGTTGATATTTAATATCAACATGGTAACAACATTACAATTAAACAGCATACATTCTGCCATTGCGAAATGTAAACAAAAACAAATTGGACGTTCATTCTTCTCAGGATTACCAACTACTCAAAAAGTGTATTTTTTCTTAACAACTTTTGTATATTGTCATCGTCCCTGTATATACATATAAGTATAAATAAATCAGCGGATATTCAGACGGATTTAGATAATATTCTATGAAATAACAAAAATAGAATCAAAGGTGATATTTGCTGGTGTGACTGCTGCTTTTTTTGTTCAAGTATTTTGGTAAACGGATTCAAAAAAATGTTTTTGTTTCAAGTTCTGAACGGCTATATTATATGAAAATTTGAATATTATTAACAGTTTTAGCTAGAAAATAATATAAAGTACGAACAAAATTAAATATATTAATGATAATATAATATAAATGACAGTTTAAGCTATATTTTATTAAAGACGTGTCTGCAAAATTTGACTGCTAATCTAGCGATATCTGAGGAGGGTAGCTTCCCTAATATACTTTTATATTTCTTACACAATTTAGCAACATTTAGATATTCAAAACTTCTGAATCACAACGTTTTCTAAGCCTTTGCTAAAAGATATAGGAGTGATCCACTTACACAGAATATAGACATAGATTACACTATATTACTTACCTTAGTATTTTTCCTAATATAGTTTAGAGTAATATTGTCTAAATTACATCATTTTAATTTCACGAATCTAATATATCTAGCGAGAGATTATATACAAGACAAGTTATACAAAAAATAATATACTATAGCATAGTGATTAATTATCCGATATGTCAGGCAGTTGTCACTAGGCCACGCAATATTGGTAGAAAAGGCCAATACCATGAATACATATGTTTTTTACTGATATAAACTACTATTATAAAAACATCAAAATAATTACTTTAAGATTCTATATCTTGCATATTATTATTGTAGCTAGAATCATAAATTACCTATAACAAACTCTTATCATGCCATCAATACACGAAATTGATATTTTTTTCCATTTAATACGGAAACTTTACTACTATAATGCTTGTAACAATAATGAGTATTACTAGGTACTTTAAGTTGAATAATATTTAAAGAAATAGTAGAAAAAAGTTGAAGAGAAAAGATAATAATATAAACTCGGCAGTTTAGACAGAATAAAATGAAAAAGTTTTGTTTGTCCTACAAATTTTGCTATTGATACCACATAAAGAAATAGACATACATATTCATGATAGAGACCAAGCAGCGATAAGTGATAGATAGAGTTTCATGCTTAATAATAACCTACAATAGCTCGCATATAAAATATCTTGTACTTCACATAGCACAGAAGAGACTACGAGTTCACAACACTTTGCATCAACAGAACATGCCGAAACATCCATGACATCATGATAGTTATACGACCACAATTAATGGCTATGCTTTCACTTTGCTTTGAAATAATAAAACGACGATTTAACTATACGATAAAATAATACTACTTATGGTGCTTGACCAGGCTGCACACAAAGGCGCATCGCTTTGTTGTACTCAAACATATTATTATGAAATCTTAATCGAGTGTCGATAATGGCGCCCGTACGCGTTATATGTTTGACGCTATGCACCCGTCTGTGCAACCTGGCCAAGCACTTAGATTTCCACTGTGATAATTAAGATAAAATTTATTTTAGAGGATACGGCCATACCATCACATGCTGGCCAGAGAAAAATCCATGCAAGATCAGATGCGACTATTTTTGAGTGTGTACATTCAATTCCATTTACCAAATGCTCCAGTGTCGTTCCTAAAGCAAAGCTCACTAGCCAAGTACTAGCATACATTAAAAGCTGAAAAGAAAGCTTTAATTGTAAGCGCTGTGAAAACATAGCCCAAGTTGCCAAAAGTGTACCAAATAAATAAAACAAAAAAAAAGATAACACCTTGAGCACAAAAGCATCGCAAGATTACATAATATACTAGACTTAGAACTAACAATAATAGTCATAAAAATCCAAAACGACAAATTGACCGCATTTCCAGTAATACTAATCGTATATGATGTAATATAATAATTGAGATAAGCCTTATTACTAAGGGCAGAGCAAGAATTTATTGCTTGTACGAGCAAGCTAGTTCTCGTGATAAAATTTTAATAATACAACACAATTTGGAAATGTTGAAGAGCATCGGCTCTCTAGGTCTACAGGAAACTCTATTAAAGAGCTCTAAAAGTGACGAATATAAAAATTATCAACACCCACTTACAACGAATTTACGTATTAAGAGACTTTGTGACTCACTACTACAGGTGACCATTTGCACGCTTCTGCGAATGTCTTTGGTCCTATTTTTCCGAGTGATAGACAAACGACGTTATTTAAAAATGTGTTGAATCTAAAACTATTAAGTCTTCTAACAAATAAAACTAATGCTACGTTATTGAATATCCCATATCACATCGTTGACGATTTGTGTACTTCGATCCATCAAAACTTGTGGACAACGTAATAACAACTAACATTACACCTAACGTAAAGTAGCCATCAAACTGTCTATAAAATAAACCATGTTGTTTGGTAAATAACGATGAAGCTCAGAAAAACAAGAAAGACATTACAGTGTAACATTTTTAATAGAATTCGATATAACTAATCATATTAATAAGCGTTCCTGACTTTGCAATTAGTCTTATGAGAACTATAACATCCTGGTCATCTATTTATTTACCAAACAAGCAAATAACAACGTCAAAAGGATTATTAACACTGCAACAACTATTGTATATCCGAAACAAAGTTCTTATCGTCGTCTTTTCAACAAACATTCATGTGTAGAAATATAAACATCAAATACACCACAGACATCTGCTAAAAGAATTAAGTTTCAATGTTTACATGCCTTCACATTTGGACCCCAGATTTAATAAAGTGACAATCAACAACATGTAAAAACTAAATTTATTAAAAAATAGGTTTATATCTCTGTCTATGTCAATTGCTTTCGAAAACAACCTTACACTAAGGTAAACGAAACTCCTTTTCAAGGATAACAAGCTAATACAACAAATATGTCTTTTTCCACGGAGGTAACGTCTTCTACATCTAGCAACATAGCCGTTTTGTGCTATGAATCGTTGTGCTCACTTTGCACTTTATTATCTAACACCCATCTTTCATAGATACATAAAATCACTTACTTCATGTTTTCTTTTGCCACAAAATTCCACTTCAAAATGACCAATTTCTTCAATGATTTTCGAATTTGAAATTAATTTTAGAAATTAATCATCTTGTGGTACATGGACTTGCTAAGAACAACTCTGCACATGGTGACAGATAAAATTCTCTTGCAAATAGAAAATTTCCGTCAAGTAAAGAAGTTAAAATGATTTTATATATCTATTATCATTGCACATTATTATAGTACTGATAGCACACGAACCCACAGTTTTTACACCGATTGTACAGCTAACACTTAAGTCTAAAAATAAAAGCAACCAGACTACGTACAGGAGACAAAACGGTCAAAACACACCAGAAAGTTATACCTACCATGAACACTTTCAACACCAGATCTTTCACGTTTCCCAATCAATTCGAAATTCTATAAATAGGGTAATGGAGGAATTTCTTCAGGCAATTTTCTTGTGGCATTAGGGACACCTTTGTATTGAATAACATCAAGTAACTTTCCTCCACTAAAGTGGAGTCCAGCAGTAGACTGTAAAGGGCTGTTGGTGATGATGATGATATTAACTTCATTGAAATATTTCACACTTCATTAGCAAGATGATAAAACATCAGGACTCAGGATCATCATTATAAGAAGAATACAGATCACCTGATGTTTCTTTCGAAGAAGTTTGCTCTATAATTATTTCAAATACAGCAAGATTTAATATTACAGCTAGTTTTACTCTAATAACACAACAAAATCGCCTGATTACAATGGCTTGAACTAATGGAAGTGAAACAACTTGAGCATGATAAAGTTGGAAGACTTGAGCAAAAGGAACAATTTGGGAACAACCTTCAAATGAAACTAACCTAAGAAACCAAACCTTAAGGAGAGGAACCATGTTTAATTACCAATGGGGGAGTGGTGATAGACAATATGGAATTGGGGTATTTAGGAAGCTTGCAGACGATGGAAAATTTCCCATCGATTACGTTAAAATTCACGTCATTTTTATTCGTCTTCTGATAAAATTAACGAGGATGCTCTCACTGCACCAACCAGTTCTAGTTTCTGATGACGATCCCCTAAATACACACTTAAATATCTACTTAGATTAGTTTCCAAAAGTGTACGTCATCGTTCTCAAATATCAAAGCCAGTGACTGGAACATTATGCGATAGATATAAAACGCATAGTGAACAGGAAACTGGTCTACTTGAGAACTAACGAAAAGGTTCTGGATTCTGGGAGCATTGATTTTACAAGGCTTGAGTGCTTATTTCCTGAATTTCCAAGAACTTTCAAGAGGCATTTTGTCCTTTACTTCCTTAGCATTACTTCTTCCAATCTACTTAACCTGAGAATTTATTGCTTTTAATTAGTCTACTTCCTTAACAATTCATTCATCAACAGTCCTATCCTTTGCATTCGGTTACTTTTCCTTTACGTCCAACGAATCAAAGCCTCTTGAAAACTTCACTTTGCTATCGACGAAATCATAACTTTCATCAACAACCTTATCCTTTGCAGTCGTATTTCTTCATCTTCAAAGGAATCAAAGCCTCCTGAAAAGTTTACTTTATAGAAACCTGGAAATTCCAAAGCAAAAACCTTACCAGCTCCCAGACCCAGGCTTTCAGAAGACACACTTCTGGAAACTAATGGCCCTGGCCTAGTAGATGAATGCGGGATGCAGAGGCGGCGGCGGGATACGGGGCTGCTTGTCGAGGGGTGCACAGCAGGCTGGCTCGCAGCAGGGAGCCGAGTAGGGGGCCGGGACTAGCGTGTACTGCGCTGGGGGGCCGTATATTGCTGGAGTGGCTGGAAGAGACGAAGTTGGTGAAGATTTATAGAATGATTTGGTTAGTACCTTTAAGAGGAGTTTTCTTAATATTAATCTAAAACAAAGCTAGATCTTCTAATCAGAACTTGTCAAATTAAGTACATTAATTCTAGGCATTCGTATGACATAAATGCTCCTTGTGAATAAAGGTGCAAGTTTGTAGCCAACGACACAGCAGCAGAAGATGACGTCGCTAATAATGGTTGTTTTTTCATAGAAATACATAGAAACCAGTAGTGTCGCGACGCAAAGTGGTGCTGCTGTGAACAATAGAACAGCGGCACCTATTGGGGCGCTGCCTCCGAGCCCAGGAATGGAGACTCAACGACTGACTGAATGAATTACTATCAAATGGCAGAGGGTACACCACAACATACGGCAGGAGCGCTAATGGTGGCGCGCACAGCAACTGGTAGCACAGAGGCGCTTGCAGTGACGCTGCTTCTCAGCCCAGAACTATAGAGGAGCCTAAACGACCTGATGATGAAGACTTACTGTCAAATGGCAGAGGGTACACAGCATATGGCGGGGGCGGCAGCTCGCACGGCGCGCAGGCTGGCAGTGGCGCAAGCGGCGGTGCACATAGCAGCTGGTAGCACAGCGGCGCCTGCAGTGGCGCTGCTTCTGAGCCCAGCACTATAGAGGAGCCTAAACAGCCTGATGATGACGACTTACTGTCAAATGGCAGAGGGTACACAGCATATGGTGGGGGCGGCAGCTCGCATGGCGCACAGGCTGGCAGTGGCGCTAGCGGAGGTGCACATAGCAGCTGATAGCACAGCGGCGCTTGTAGCGGCGCTGCCTCCGAGCCTAGCAGCATTGTAGTGGAGACTAAAGGACCTGATGAAGACTTACTGTCAAATGGCAGAGGGTACACAGCATATGGCGGGGGCGGCAGCTCGCATGGCGCACAGGCTGGCAGTGGCGCTAGCGGAGGTGCACATAGCAGCTGATAGCACAGCGGCGCTTGTAGCGGCGCTGCCTCCGAGCCTAGCAGCATTGTAGTGGAGACTAAAGGACCTGATGAAGACTTACTGTCAAATGGCAGAGGGTACACAGCATATGGCGGGGGCGGCAGCTCGCAGGGCGCGCAGTTTGGCAAGGGTGCCAATGGTGGCGCGCACAGCAACTGGTAGCACAGCGGCGCTTGTAGCGGCTCTGCCTCCGAGCCTAGCAGCATTGTAGTGGTCTCCGTTCAATGCGGTCCAGAGGGAGAAGCTGGTACTGTAGTACAGGCCAAATGACCTGATAATTATTACCTAGCAGACCGCACAACGGCACCTGCAGTGGTCTTAAACACCTGATGAAGACTTACTGTCAAATGGCAGAGGGTACACAGTATATGACGGGGGCGGCAGCTCGCGTGGCTCGCAGTCCGACAGCGGCGCCTACAGTAAAGGCCAAAGGACCTGATGAATACTTACTGTCAAATGGCAGAGGGTACACAGCATATGGCGGGGGCGGCAGCTCGCATGGCTCGCAGTCCGACAGCGGCGCCTACAGTAGAGGCCAAAGGACCTGATGAATACTTACTGTCAAATGGCAGAGGGTACACAGCATATGGCGGGGGCGGCAGCTCGCATGGCGCACAGGCTGGCAGTGGCGCAAGCGGCGGTGCACAAAGCAGCTGGTAGCACAGCGGCGCTTGTAGCGGCGCCGCTCCCGAGTCCAGCACTGGTAACTGGGTCATCTGGAAGGAGAATACCTGGAGATTAGGTAAGATTTTATCTCTTTGTGAACCGAGGCTGTGGAGGTTAGATTAGATTTTACCTGTTTGACTTGGGACCGTAAGAAACCCTACGTCATTTGATACTAAGATAACTCATAATAATGGTGCTTTTTCTAAACTTTCAAGGAAAACTATAACCGTTAATATAGATCAGTCAGTTTAAGAGTAATAGTAGTTTAACTCTTGTATTATAAAATTTTATATCTAATAAAAATTCCTTAGAAGAAAATATTAAAAGTGACTCTAAATGAAGTAATTGCTTGCTTCTAAAATATATTGTGATGACGACGGACAACTAACGGAACCCTACACTGCGCGTGGCACGACACGCACTTGGCCAATTTTTGTACTTTCGGCCAAATCGGAATTTTATAATTGTTTTTTCCAAGCTTAGCACAACTTATCTGAACGTGCGCTATGGAACTTATCTTAGTATCAAATGACGTAGGGTTTCTTACGGTCACCTCTCAGAGTAATAGGCTTTCTTTTCTTTCTTTCAGACATTCAAGTTTAAATTCAAGCTTCCAATCTTCTAATAAAACGGGTAAAATACACACTGTGTATGTCCTAACCAGGAATCGAAATCAGAATCTACGAAACGAGAGAGTTTTATTCTCATGACACTGGATCATAGAGGCTTTACAGGCACAGAATATGACTAAAAATCTGTATTTTTCTGCTAAAAGTTCGTCTTATTTACGAATAAAATACCCTTTTAAAACGATCGCCATTTTAACTGTCCATCGTTCAAACTCTGCTGCAATTTGTCAATGCATGTCAGCATCATCAATCAAGTCGGCCGTACAAAATTGATAGGCGGTCAGCAGCCCTCATGCCTCTCGTATCGGTTGTCGGTTTGAATCCAGATTTTTTCCAACGTTAAAGTACTGTGAACGTGCAATAAGGTTTAACTGTGGAACTGGCAATAATAACGAATTTAGTATACATTTATCATATTCTAGCTAGACACCATAAAATATACTGTGCATTAAAGTAGTAAACTAACTAAAATAATAGTTGGATGGTTCAAACCAAATCATTTTATTATGATTAAGATGAAAATAATACCTGACTTACGAGTACGTCGCTAACTTTATTCTTAAAACGTTATCATAGGATTTATCAATTTTGGTGATAAGCAATCAACACTTCTTCGTTATCACACACCAGCTGATTTCATACGCAACAAAAAGTTTATCACAATAACATAAGAAAAAGATAAGATTTTTATGTAAAGAATTACGAAAGATTCGAGATTATGAACACTTCATTTAAAACATACCCCATTGACGGGGCCAATAAATTAAAGATAATCTTGCAAACAAAATTAAATGAGATGATGAGATAAAGTAGCCTAGCCAGTATGTAAAACACCTAATACTCTTACGCCCGTATTCACAAACATTACTATGAGGTCTCACAGTGCGCGTGGACGCACAGGGTGACACACGAACCAATCACAGAGCTCTATTTAACGCTGTGCGTTCGAGTTGCGTATTCACAAACATTACTATGAGGTCTCACAGTGCGCGTGGACGCACAGGGTGACACACTAACCAATCACAGAGCTCTATTTAACGCTGTGCGTTCGAGTTGCTGCTTCACTTAAGCAAGTATATTTTGTAAATACAGGCGTTACTTAGCTATAAATGCTAGAGTCACCACAATTTTTAGTATTAATCCACACGATTAAATAGCTAAAGCTGAAATGCTACTGGGCTGTTCATATTTGCCACAGATAATAACCATTATCCGATAGGACTGAAGGACTATCGAGTTAAGACCGCGACTTGGCAAGCACAGTGTGAAGCGCCCTTTAGCTCGATAGAGCTGAAAATGTATACAGTGCACACAGTAAGAGAACGTAGTTTGTAGGGTAGGCCTACGTATAGCGGTTGTGATGTGAAACAAACCGTCTCGACCCAAAGGTCGACCAAAGTCGAGGGGCTTGGTTCCCGCTTTTCGACATGACGTTTGTGCCATGTCGCGATTTTTGCTGAGCAGGCGCCTTTCCAGCATATTTTTAAGAAATCATGTCTACTCTTGTCTTGTCCGCCACATTGTTATGATGAATAAAGATTTTTTTATTCTTGTTCTTATTAAAATGATGGTGGACGAGGATTGAGATGGTGTGTCTATGGTCTAGTCACTAAAACCCAGGAACTAAGCACTAAGTGGTATCTTGATTTGACAAACATAGAAGAATAATCAGAGCGCTAAAAGAAATACATAGAAACTTATTTCAGCTAATGATGATGATGGATAGTATTTACCTGCTTTCTGACCGCCTGTGCTACTCGGAGACGTCCCAACGGGGAGAACATGACTCCGCCACTCTGAAAATGTAAAATATTCAATTAATTTACACAATAAATTATACCGCCTGGCCTATGAAAGTCGTTTATTTTTGCAATTAAGACTTAAAACAGTTTCACACGCTCCTAATCTAGGTACGTTTAAAGACAACAAAATTAAAAGGTCCAGTGCTGAGAAAAAAGAAAGAAACTGGGTCACCTTCTCAACATAATGGGGTTGTTAATCCCACCTTTCGATTTATGGGGGAACATCTAAACCCGATTTCCCCATGGATTTTCTACGGATGGATCTTAAAGGAAGAATCGGCCATTACTTGTTTGCTAACTCCAATACTTAAACTTTATATAATAATATGTACTTGAGTATATCAAGAGTTTACCCTAAATGCAAAAACCTTACTGATTCCAATTAAAACGATCTTAAAATATACATCTAATATATGTATTCATGTGTACTCTAAACATAACCGGGTTAAATTCGCATCTCTCATCATTAAGGGATTCCACTCGCACCAGCGGAACCCTAAAAACCCATTATACGCCACAAACGACGTTAACAGCGAAAACCAACAGCGCTCATTTATAATTTGATTTCGCCCCACCTGAACCGACCGATAATACAACAAAAGCGCTTCCCTAGTGAGGTGAATTGTGAAAATATTAGTGATGCAACGAATACGAATACGAATATTCGTATTCGCCGAATAGTAGACATTTACCGAATATTCGGTGAAATAATCTTACTTTTTTTAAATTTTGTCACACACGTGTGTGTCTTCGAACACTATAACCACAACGACATGACGGGAAACCCCCGGTCAGTATGTAACAAAGTAGTAAGCAAGTTCTCTTCCGGAATTTGACAGACAATAGCAAGTCGATTGTACAAGTATTATTTTGTTTTGTGATTAGTTACAAAGTAAAGTGATACAATACCAAAAAAATGCCAATTTAATTACTAAAACTAATTATGGTTAATATAATAAAAATATTTAAATTTATGAGTACCTTCATCATGACTATGTAGAGATATTCGTTTTCGTATTCGCCGAATAGTAATATTCGTATTCGTAAAAGTAGTATTCGTTGCATCACTAGAAAATATTCGAAAATACTCGAGAATGTGAACGGAATGTTTTCAAATCATTGTTGTGAATACGAATAGGTTTCCGAATTTAGGCACCAAGGTTGTGATTTACCCAGTCGTGCTTTTGATTTATAAAAGAAAGTGAGTTACTGTTGCTTTCGCAGACTGGTAGAATAGATCCTAACTAGGATTACGATTAACATCGCAACTGCAACGAATTGAAAGAAAGAAAGAAGAATTAATGTTTATTCAGTACCTACCTATCATCGACAATACACTTGGTAGGAATTGCTTAGTTTTTCCGTCTATTTTCTTCTCTGTTTTACATGTTAAACATGAATGCTAATACTAAAACGTTTATTTTTATTTGTATAGAGAACAATAGTGTCTAAACAAACCTCAAGAGGATTTAAGACACTATTTAAATCAAAGATGTAATGGCTAAATAATGTAATAATAAATATAAAAAAAATAAATGTACCAATGTCCGTATGTCATGTATTTCGCTGTTTGTGTTGTCCGAATTTAATAACTAAACTTTCCTTTTTTGAAGCACTTGTACGAGTAAAAGCACTTTTGAAAGCTTATTTGCAGAAAATTCATAACTTTCCCTCTAATATTGCTGTTAGCGGTTAAGTTCAATCTTCTACTTGTCGTGTCGACAACAAACCTACACAGTGTCAGCCTAGAACTCCGCTACAAAATGGCGTTGTCAACAGCATTAATTAAAATCCTCCTGTGTGCAGTTGCTTGGGCAATCAGGGTACGACATCAATGCTTCATCGACTGGGCAACAAAACCCAATGTTAAGTTCAATGTTTGTATACACATAATGCCTGTCCTGCTCTCAGATTATTATACGAAAAAGGAAATAAAAATTGGAATGCGAATATTCGCCACATCACTACCACCTGTACGTGTGTTGGAACCTTGCCGTTTAACAGCCTTGACCGGAAGCTTTCAATGGGACCTCAGATTTAGGAAGGTGAAATAGCAAATTCTAGTATGTTTGCGGAGAAAATGTTCTTTAATGCGTTTTTACTTTGCCATTGCATATTTGGTTTGAAAAGCCGTAAGTTTTTGGAGAGTCTAGGTTAAAAGTGCTACAGGAAATGTGTATTTTTCAGGCATTCGCATTCTATTTGAAAACGCATTCGCAAACTTCACATGTTATGAAAAGACTGTGTATTTTATTCTACCAGTGGGGGCCTCGAAAAGAAGATTTTGATGAAAAAATATGCCAGGAAAGCCTTATGACTATAACTTTTTATCATTAAAAGCCTAAGGCAACAGCTGTTGATGTTACACATCCCATATTCAATGAAATCATTTGAAAATCTTATAGGGATCAAATTAAGTAGAAGCAGTATAACTGCTTCTAACAAAACTTTGTGAAGCAGCCGCTTACTATCTACTCTGTAAAAAGTAGCACATCAGACCATAGCTACATCATTATCGTTGCAAAATAGAATATTTGCTGTCTACCTTGTGTTTGTCTCCGCCCAAGATTTCAAGATTCAATTCCAAGCTCCAAGATCCGTCCCATTTTTCATTCGAAGACGGATGGATATTTTTATCAGGAGGGAAGTTCGCAAATACCTTCACATTCTTAGAGCAAGCACACAGAGTGGAATATTATACGAAAATAGGGAATTGTAATATCGGGCGACGTGACGTCACCTTATTGGACGGTCTTTGTGGGGGATTAACATTCGAGGAAAGGCAGACGAGTTTGTATTATTTGAGATTCACGTACATTCATTTTGGGACATTTTTGCGTGAAAGAGTGATCTGGAGGTACCTTTAACCGTGTCCATTAACACCCTTGCAAAATAGGCTGACAATAGTGACTGGGTTTCTTGCGCTACTTCTTCTCAGCACTGGCCCATTTATTGTCCCAGAGCAGTGGTAGGGTTAATACTGGGTGGGACATGTAAAAGAGCTACATAAAAGCCTATACAGGGTGGAATTTTGTAATGCCACCTGGAGGGAAAGTACTCTAAATATTGTAGATAGAAATTTTTTCTCAAATAAAACATTCCTTTATTTTTGAAAAGAAATAGAACTGCATTCAAAGATTTCCAAAAATTTGCTTGTCACATCCGGAAATCGAATCAACTAAAATCTGTTAAAAATTACACCCTGTATTTTTATTACATCGATCGTTAGGGTTAAGTAAAAGGATGAAAATCTCTCTAACAAACTTGATAAATAAAATGAAAGGAAAACCATGAACTTTTAAATTATTTTAATTATGTTACAGATAATTGTATGGTATGGTAGTGAATTTTCGAATTTTTTTCGAAAATCTTTGAATGCAGTTCTATTTCTTTTCAAAAATAAAGGAATGTTTTCTTTCAGTAAAATTTTCTATCTACAGTATTAAGAGTACTTACCCTCCAGGTGGCATTACAAAATTCCACCCTGTATACTTGCAATAATAAAATTAATATCATGAGTTTTTATACTAAGCCAAAAGATCATCCTAGAGGCAGGTCACGGTTAATTCAAAGCTAATTTCTATGTAAGAAATTTGTCACTTGTGCTCTCCAGTCAGTTATGAAAGCGAGTCATTTTAGTAAAGTTCTGTGAACATTAGTCGCCCATATTATAAATCATGCATAGATACATTTTCTTAACGCGTTTCTTCGCTATGCTATTTTATCTTTATTATGTCTACATAGTTCACAGACTTACTACTAAAAGCTATAATTTTGCTAGATATCGGTAACATAAATCAGCTGATAAGTAAGACAATAAAAATTTGAATTTCTACCTCCCTTATGTACACGTAAGTTGGGGATTTTTTTTTCTTTTCTATCCCTATCTGGAGTGTATTCTTCAGCTAAAACTGCATTCATTAAATCAACTTTAAAATCTTTCAAAGCCTTACAACCAGCTCCTTTATACAGGGTGTGTCTAAGGCAGCCTCATGGTATTTATGGCTCGTGTCGCCGCCATGCAAGCGGCGGCCATGTTGCCATTACAACGATTGATGGTGAGTCTGTGCCAAATGACATAGTGTTGTGGCTGTGGTCGATGATGTGTCGATAGTATTTGGGTGGTTAGTAACATGGTCTAACCTCGTGAGGTAGGCTGGTATACGCACGGTGTGTGATGCGTAAGAAATCAAGTAATAACCTTGGTACCTACCTGTCTTGAAAAGGGTAGGTACTGTAATCAATCACGAGTTTGAAATGTCTGATTCTTTGTTTATGTAGGTTGGTACTGCCTGTTTAATACCGACTCTATTTTTGTAATGATTTTTATTTTGTAGCCTGTTAAAAAGTATTTCGTAAATCAACCTTACCAAACCTTAAACGATTATCATAATTTAGAAAAAAACTCTAAACAGTTCACTAGTCATTGATTACCTACTGTAATTTCTCTGAGTTAAACGTAGAGAGAGGTTTCATTTCTTTATCGATAAAATGTTAAACAGCCTACCACAACCCTAAACCGTGTGTATAATAGGGCATTTCCCTTTAAATGCGTAATTAAATCATTTTAACTGACGTAATGTGGCAGTTATTAGTTAAATTTACTTAGGAATGTAATAATATTGTTTGCCGAAAGTTATTTACTTCTAAATAAAGTTCTGATACACAGCGTGATTACCTGTGCGTGATATTTCCATAAAAACGGGAATTATTTGTACTTAGGTCTCAACAATGGAAAGCTTTTTTAACTTATCTAAATGACTTCGAAAATGTTATTTATTTGCATAGATCCAATCTTCAAAGTAAACAAGGTTAAGCCTGCAATAAAAATAGATGATTCGACAGTTTTCCATGGGTTTTACACAATGCCCTTACAATATCACACTTTTAAATGGCAATATCAAACAGCGATTACATCTATACTAATATTATAAATAAATAAAAATAAAATAAAAGGTATTTATTTCAGGCACAGCCCATAAAAGTGTTAGTAA